ATATACAGATGAAAATGGCAAGTAATATGATATTGTCTCTTAAACATAATAAAACATTGCCATCTGCAAATGATAATTTTAATATTTTGATTGTGAAGTTATTGAATGGTTTTTCACATTTTTTCCTGATCAGACCTACCTCTCACTATGGTTTGGAAATTAATGGAAATTAAAGAATACCTACTATATGGAGACATATACCATTTTCACTGAACGTGCAGGCTCCTTGTCTTGTTACTATAGTGTGGTGGTTATTTCATTCACCTCACACACATGCCTCTTCATTTAAGAATTCTTCTCGTTGCCCAAGGTTATAAGTTAATCATCTGGCTGTCCCTATAGCAGTTATAGAGGTTAGGGAATGTGGTCTTTATTCAAAGCAGGCATGTACATGTGCACAACTAAAAATTAGCATTCTATTACTATAGAAGGAGGGCTAAGTGTGAAGGGTCACAGGAGTAGCAAACTATCTATTGGGAGATTGCTGGCAGTCTGTAAGAGAAACAGTATGTGCTCAGGTAAGGTACTAGGTAAGAGCAGTTTTGGTGTATTGAAGGCAAAAAGCCCAGTGTGTTTAAGCATTATGAACAAAGGGTAGGAAGACTGGCAGGGGGTATTAGGACAAAACTGCCAAGGCGTGATAGACAGATGATAGAACCTAGAGTCAGACACCTTGGATTATAATCTAAAGTCATTTCTAGGATGATGAAAATTGAGTAATAGCAAGAGCATCATTTTCTACACTTGATTAAAAAAATAATCCTTACCCATCTTTATTGGGCAATTTGTAACTGAAAATATTTTTTGTATTTGAAAGCACTATTTTATATAATAATTGCATAATTATGTTTATATATACCAACTATAACACATTGCTATGTTAATATAGTTATTATCCACATATAATTATGCTTTATATAGTATAGTTTAATGATTGTGATACTATATTGCATATAGAAAATATATTTATTTCACTTACTATAATTTTGTATTTTATATACATCTATCATCCATCTGTCTGTTTATTTATATAATCTGATAAGGAAATATCATTTCTTCCATGTTAAACCATGTTAAACTGATGTTATTATTCTAGAAGTATTTTTCTTTGAGCTCAAATATGTCTCCCAATGGCATTTATGAATAATAATTTTTGTCATTTGCAACAAGGTGGAGCTAGTTCAGTCTTTCATCTACATAGTTGCTACATATTAAACAACAAAGGGAATAGGATTGATTTTATATTCTATAGAAAAACATTCTGACATCTGGAACTTTAGGAAAACAGATGTCCATTAAAAAGTTTAAAAGGAGGGGTTGGGGGGAAGCAAATATTGTCTAAAAAATGATAAATGTTAAAATAAAAAAATCTAAAAAAATTAAAAGTTTAAAAGGAATTTGAAATAAAGGAAACTCTCAGTTTAAGTTCATATAGTTTCTTTTCTATATCTAATTGAAGATTATATGTAGCTTGATAAAATCTTTCCCAGGTGCCTTAAATTGTAAAGCAGTGAAGTAGAAAATAATTTCATAGACCTAACTTGTGTATTGTCTTTAGGGGGCAGTACTAAACCACTGATAAATTTTGTTATTTGTGCTAATGCTACTGTAATAGTTAATACAAGACTAAAATAACAATGATATTGTGATGCAATTATATACATACTTTAATATTAATAAATTGTACAGGTGTTCAACTGAAATGGATAGTTTGAAATTCATTTAATAATTCATTCAATAAATAATCATTAAATTTCATTATGCACCACATATTGTAAGAGACACAAAAGTGAGTTAAGTGATTGTTTGGTTCAAATAGCTTATAATTCACTAGTATAAGGAAACTGCATTTGTTTGTACGTATGAGTGTACTATGTGTGTGCATATATGTGCAACTCTTTCAGGGAAAAGATATTAAAAATTAGTAATATTAGGCAAGTCACAAACAATTTTATCTTGTGCATCCCTTTTATCTTGTGCATCCCTATCAGGTAGGAATTATTATTATACTTACTTTGCAGATAAAGAAACTAAAGATTAATAAAACTGTGATTTGCTCAGTGACAGCTTGGAAGTGGCAGAGCCAGGACTTAAATGTATATCTACTTGATGTCAAAGTCAATGCTTTTTGCCACTATATCATCTATCAATCTCCAGGTATATGTGAAATATCTTAATATAAAAAACTCAGACTTGCAGAATAGAGCAATTGCATTTGTAAGATGTCTGGAAATTTTTAGGGAAGAGGTAAAATATGAACAGTATTTTGAGGAACCCATGTAATTTAAAGAGAATACTAGCATAAAAATATTAACACTAGTCAATATTTATTCAAACCTCAATATGTGTCAGTCATCTTACATGCATTGCTTCATGTAACATTTAATAGAATGTTCTATTTATTATTTTCCCAGTGCATAGATAAGGCAAATGAGGCTCAGTGATCAGATCTGATAATTATCACAGCAATAGTGGGTTCATAAGTAAGAGAGATATAATTTGAATCCAGGACTAATTTTAGGACCAAAACTCTTCACCATTAAAATATGATGCTCAATGGAGAAAATGGAAATTATGAATAAAAATCTGGGACATAACTAAAGGGTAAACAATTCCACTTGTCTGGGGTGAGTATAACAGAATGAGAAAAAGAGCTGAAAATCTGGACATAGAACTTCAAAGTCAGATTGAGGAATGTGGGTATGTGTTGTGTAGTGGGGAATATTTGAGATTATAAAGATTGGATCAAATAATTATAGTACCATTAACAAAATATCAACAGGGTCAAACGATCCTTAATTAGTGGGGGAGATGCTAATTGATCATTGTATTCATTTTTGTAGACAGTGGTTGATCAAACATATTTCAATAGATGATCTTGTTAATTAAGTTTTTAAATATCCTGAGTTTTTTCATTGAGATGATTTGCAGGATAAAAATCCCTGTGGTTATCACCTTTTATTATTGCTTTGATATATGTATTTATGATGGTACAGGCTGTTATGTAACAAATTACCAAAAATTTCACTATCATCGATAGCAAAAAACTCTCAGTTGTACATAACATAGTACATATACATAGTACGTAGTACAAATATGCTTCTGATTTAGACATCAATTATATTAGCTTGTTTGTTGAATATACTGCTTTTTATGTTACTGTACAGAACAAGAGGGCACAAAACAGTGTTAAAGGGATAAACAAGTAAATCAGACAGCCTGGGTTTGAGTATGTTTTCTGCCATCTACTGACTCTATGACCTTGGATTTTACTGACCTCTCTGTACTTTAGTATTTATTTACCTTAAAGCGTTGTTGTGTGAATTTAATAGAGTGCTCAAAAGATTGAGCCCATTATTATTGTGTCTTATAAATAGCAACTGATTGAGGGACTCAGTTCACAATTTTTCATTTATTAAAAATTGATAAAGGAAAATTGAAAATGTGAATGCAAAAATATGTGAGTCAAAAAACTCTTGTATTCTATTTTTGTAGGCAACTATATTGGGGGGCAGGTGCTATTTATAATATATCAAATGTCTTTGTAACTTCAATAATCATGATCTCTTAGTATTGTGCTGAACACTACATTTGAAGGATGGACAAACATCTTTTAAAAATTCAGTCTGTTGAGCATTTAGCAGATTTTTTTTCTTCAGCTGTGGCACAATTTGTTGCATTTTTTTCTTTGACAGCCTCCTCACATTTCTATATGGACCTGTTAATTTGATCCCCTACTTCTTTTTCATCTTTTGTCTCCTGGGAAATTTCTTCAGTCAACATTTTTTATTCTCTTATTGAATTTTATGTGTTTGTTTTATAGCATTCTGTTCTTGTTTCAGGGATGCAAATATCATCTATTTCTATGAGGATACTATTTGCAACTTTTTTCACTATATTTATTTTGGCTTTAAAAGGCTTCTTTCAAATATGTGGTGATCCTTGGATTCTTCTTTATATTAAAAAGTAAAATTAGAGGCCTCCCTGGTGGCACAGCGGATTGAGTGCAGCGCTGTAAAGCTATCCGTAGCCTCTGCAGCGCGCCAGTTTGATTCCTAGCTGGGGAGATTCCCACATGGCGCGGCAGACCTCTCCTGTCTTGCCTGCTGCTCCCCTCAGCAGTGCCTTTGGTCCTTCTGCCTGTTCTGCTCCCTTCTCTGTCTTTGGTGAATTCTCTCACCCTCCTGCACCTCTGGCCACTACCCCAGTGCTTGTATAAATAAATAAATCTTTAAAAAAAAATTAGGAACTGCTTATGTGGGTGGAGCTTGTTGAGACATGGCCTTCATATTGGGGGTTAAGGCATAGGCACTTTGTTAGGGACTTATGGATCTTTCTTTATGTAGATTAGTTTCTATAGAGAGGCATACATTCTGATCTCTATATGATGAATATAAGGTTAGCGGCCATATTCTCTAAGGTAAATGTTGGAGTACTTGGGATAAATTGGGAATCTTGGTTTAATCTATTACTGTTCACTTAATTTCTTTGTTCTTAGAGGCACCCTCTGCTGTGTGCATTCTTAGAATTTGTAATCCCTTTACTTTATCCTTTTACTAAACCATGCAGTTCATTATTTCAAATAGTGATAACCTCTTTGGTAGCATTGTAAAAAATTGAGTTTCCTTCTTTTTAGGAATTCCTATTGCAGTGAAGTATTTTCATCCTATTCCTCTGGATTGCCTTTTACTTTAATTTTATGCCTAAACTTACATTCTGGATAAATCATTATCTTACTTCTATGCTACTCTTCAGATTTTTTGGGGGGGTCATTCTTATTATCACTTTGTGTTTTTACCAGTCTCAGCCAGTTGTTTCATTTTTAACTTAAATGATATATTTTTATATTTTGCTCAGTCACAAGGCATTGTCACAACTAAACCTAGAATTAAGCTTACTTAGGCTTGCTGATAGATACCACCAGTAATTTATGTAGTTTAATTCATGTTAAGATATCAAAATAACATTAATATGTTGGTATAATATAAATTTGATTTCAGAGAACTTCATCTACAATAAATTTGTCACCAGGAGAAGTGGAAGATGATGATGATGATGAAAATACTTGTGGGCCCTCTGGACTCTGGGAGGCGCTGACTCCTTGTAATGGATGCAGGAACCTTGGCTTCCCTATTCTTGCACAGGTAAATGTTTACTTTTCTTAAGGTACAATGAAACATTAAAATAATTGCCTATGTGTCAAAGTAAATATTCAACTCCCCCCTCTGAAAATCCAACTACTATGTTGTTCATGTTATTCTTTTACTTCAGTTAAAGATCAGTAAAATGGGTACATCATTTGTTGTATGTGTATGCATATGTAAATATAATTTATACCAGAAAAATTGAGGTACTTATGAGATTTTAACATTTTCTCTAGAGATATTCCATTTTATAGAATGCAATTTTGAAATTAAATAGCAGTTTATATTAAAATAATAAAAAATCATTTATAAGAACCATATTAGGCATCTTTAAAAGCATAGTCAAGGATTATTTTTCTTAGAACATGGAACATTGTAGAATAATGTATGCCAATGAGGATTATGCAGTGCAATATAAAAATAAGAACAAAACACTGGAACATTGATTACAAGTTTGAACCCATTTCATTATCCATGAAATCAATTTTGATTCTGTTCTATTATCTTCAAATTCCTGTTGTGTGTTTTGAACCACAAGCCTTCAATGGAATTTCAGAAATGAGTGAAATAAGCCAAACAGAATTATGAAATTTGAAGTTACAATGAAAATATTTTGAGGTAAAAAAGTGTAATGTTAAAGGTGGAAAAAATACTCAACAGAAAGCAATTCACAGCAAATGAAAGGAATAGTGTTCACTAATTCACAGTAATTGCCCAGAATGGCTTTATAACCAAAAATCACATTTTCTGATTTGCAACAAATGTGAAGTAATTTTGTCTCTGAAACCATCGTGATTTTGAAATGTGTATGTCATCACTTGATTGTAGCCACTCAAATTGCAATATTTATTGTGGAAAGCTAAGCAAGGCAAATTGGCATATAGTATTTAATCTGTTCACCTAAATATGAACTATTTATTCATAAAACTTAAAGATAATTTATGATAACAATTACAGAATTGGTATCAAAATATACTGAACTATGAATTTCATAAAGCTACAAACTCTTTTGCTCAACATTTGTCTAATGCCAACATAGTTTCTGACATATAGTCAGAAGTAATAGTTGAATGGAAATGATTTGTATATTCTAGGGTTTCATCTCTTCACTTAAAGTTTTTACATATAATGTGGACCTCATACCTGTAAGTGTAAATGAGAAAGGAAATTAGCATAAGTTTTATTTAAATATACCATCACCTGCTTTATAGCTTACCTAATTCAATGCCTTTGCCTATTTTTTTTTTGTTCATTGAATTAAACATCTTTCTATTTTATATTTTAAAGTAGAATTCTTAGGAAGTATTAGGGTGCTTATAGTAGCCAGATCATTCTAATCATAAAGCCATCAATAATATGTGGCTGAATTTCCCCAGCACCTTTTATTTGTTTTATTTTATTAGGCATGCTAGTAGGCTTGGTAATACCTTGGTTTTGGTTCACAATTTTGGTAATATTAGCTATTTTTCTATTAATATTGGATACTTTTCTGTGAAGACTGTTAATATTTTAGTATTTACATTACCACAAAATATTTACCTGTCTGCAGCTTTACTTTAAAAAAAATGTTGTGTTATATAGATTTTTTTGCTATCAAATTCATTGAATTTCTCGGTCTTGTTTTTTGTTTAATTCATCTCATCTACAATTCGTTTTAGCATATTTCAAATATGACTCTAGTTTTCCTATGATTTTCCAGTGGATGGTAACTTCCACTCCTTTATATTTTATTCTATTTGGTTTAGGTTGTCTTTTAAAATCTTTATTTTGTTTCCCAGATTTAAAAACCACATTACATAAAATATAAAGCAGGGACAATTATTGTTTAAAGTTATTAGGTGATATGACTGCCTGATTTTTAAAAATATATATTTTCTATTATTATTTTATAAGTATCCTTATTGGGGTTTTAGTTGTTAAAGCATTTAATCTACACAGGTAGTTGAGAATGGTTACTGCATTAAACCTATACATTTACAAGAGTAGAATTCTTTTACCAGTATTCTCATCTACTCTTACTAATGTTCTCAATTTGTTGATAAACTCTCCCTTAATATATATAAATATACATATATAACTATAAGAAAATTGATTCATGTGTGATAGCACAAAACTATAAAAATACTTTTCTATTTTATACTAATATTAATGTGTAATGGTTCTTTCCTTTCGTATAATACGTTTGTTATGATGCCTCCAGGTTCATATTAAATGTAAATTTATCCCACAATTGGCCACATTTTAAGAAAACATGTATTTTTGAAGCCTTTTTTTCAGAACATTAAAAATCACTAAGCCATTAACACTGTGTATCTAGAACTGCATGAAAATCTACCTTACGGTTTGCTATAGGAGCCTGTGGATCAGTGGCATAGCAAAGCATTATCCAACTACATATATTTATTTCATCTATATAACACTTAATTTGATTGGATCCAGCAGTCGTGTTTAGTTTCAGAAACATGAGGCTTATGGAAATAGACCTATTTTGAATCCAAGTTACCTATACATTTTTGTTCTGGATTATAAGACTATGTGATCAAACAGATTTTTTACTTGCAAAATTAGAATATTGGCTGATCCCTGTGGCTCTTACCCCTCTAAGATTACCTTAGAGTTTTTGCCAATTTTTTTGATTCGATCCAATATTAAGTTTTATCTATGTTTTTCTGTAGTATTTAATCTTTCCATTGTGCCTAGATTACTGATATTTCTGCAAGAAGCAACGTCTCTTAAATTCATAAAAATTTAGAACTCAATATAACATCAGAGCATTAAATTAAGGTTTAGTATAATCTTAAAGGAAGAATTAGAAGGTAATCAAGATTGATGAGACTGGGGAAATGAAGGCCTTTCTAGAAAGTGTAAATAAGCACAAATTTGTTTAACACTCCTGACAATAATCACTATTCCTATTTATAAAATGCCTAGTGTTTGCCAGATATTTTACATGCATAATCTCTAATTCTCAAAGTACCTGTTTAACTAAGGAAAGAGTTAGGGTACTCAAAGTCAGAGTTAATGAGTGGCAATGCTATATTCAAACCTGGATTTTCAAAAGTTATGATGTGATGTGATGTCGCTTTCCTGGTATCATTTACATTATCCTTCCTCTTATTGGCTGCTTCTGTCTGTGATTATATATTTTGAAAGTTTTGGGAGCATAGTCTTTGGCAAATAACTGTGGACCATAAATGGATGAGAGTCTTAGAACATAATCTTTTAATATTTTATTCTGTCATTTGTTCATGTATTTACAAAAATCAAATTAAGGGAAAGTTAGAGATAGTTCAGAGCCTGATTATAAATTATTAATTTTATTGCTACCCTTTCCTGTTAATAGAGTATGACTTATTAGAGCAGACAATTGAGTTAAATTGTATAATGGTAGATGATACTGCTTTCCTCCACAGACTTAGAAGAGATATCACCTCTGTACCATATGGGCTTTGAGGCTGAGGCTCTTTTCTACAGTCATTCCTGCTGGGTAGAGACCCTCTAGCTTCTATCCTTGTTCATTCAGCCTTCACTCTGTCAGGTTGAGATAACGGGGTCTCAGTACTGAGCCTTGACTGCTTCTGCAGTTACTATAATCATGCCCCCTCTGGAGAGAGGCCAGCAGTTTTTTCTAGACATACCATCTGTGGACAAGGGCTTGCCACCCTTGCTAACAGCATTCAGACATGTTGAAAGCATCTACTATAGCCACACTGGCTCTGCTTCCTTCTGAATCTGTGAAGGCTGCTCCTGTTTGCGCTGTTTTACTTCTGAGTCTGTAACTTGGTTGCTGTCACATCCACGGCACTTGTGTTGATACTTATTATTTCCATTCCTCCTGCTACTACCCATGCCCCTTTATCAGGCTTTGTGACTGCAGAAGTATGTGACCTTGTTTGGGGAGGAATATTGAATTCATCCCTCCATATTAAAATTACAGTGGGTGGTCTCAACTATTTCAGGGTTCATATGAAGGTTCCTGATGCTGAATTCATCTTGATTCCCTTCATAGAAGTGAACAGAATCTGCCTATGGGCAAGACAAAGAAAGTTAGACCAGAAAAGTCTCCTCCTGTAGCCATACAAAGAAGAACTTATAAGAACTCAGAGGTCGTAGGTCCAATCTCCCATCTGATGCAAGGACACCCCCCCACATAGTCCCACAGTGATGCCTATGATCATTCCAGGTTTGCCTGAGCAGTTCCAATGCCAGTGAGAGCTCTGTCATACCCAGTGAATAACCTCACACCTTTTAAATACACATGTGAGTATTTCTGCTGGTCAAGTCATATGCATTATAATATTTTGATAGCTGCTAACAGATTGTTCACATGCATACAAGAACATCTCACTGCCACTGATGTATAAAATTATCAGCACATAACAGTCACGAGCAGAGTTTATGTGACTCACAACACAGTCGACCAGGGCTGGAGTCGCATATGTTCAAGGACAGGTAGTATATGTTCAAGTAGTATATGCTTATTTAAGGTCAGCATGTTGCAGCTGGCATTATAATTTGGATATGAATTTAAGAGTTGCCGACAGCCGAGGAATCTCTAAAATACAGCCTTGGGGGACTCTTTGGATAAGTGCTGAGAACCTCCCCAATGTGGCTTCCAAACAGAGACTTATTTAACTGTGAGCCCTTTTTTCATATGCATGCATTTTCCAAGTGAGCCTCAGAACTAATGCCTCTGCAGATGTTTAAAAGCAAGACTTACCATTGGGCTCCTATTGTCTTCCTCAAACCCAGGTATGTTCAGTTTGTTTCCAGCTGGGAGGGCCTGGGTTCCACTGAAAGCCTCTACTGGTGGTTTCAGCAAGTAAACGAGATTTTCCCAGTGAACAAAAAGATCTCTTGTATCTGAAGGGGGACATAGCTGAAGGTAGAAAGAGCGGCCCGTGACAAGCTTCAGGCGGAGCTGTTGTTTGGTGCTGTTATGGATGGATATCTTTACAAGCTTCAAGGGAAACATTCTGGTTAGCTCTAAGATCTGTGTAGGCTTGTTACTTCTTTCCCGGGGGGCGGGGCTGTATCTGTGGTAGTCATCAGAGAGAGTGGCTGGTCGGGCCAGCAGCATGATGTCAGGTAGTGTGAGGTGGGGGCTGGTACGCACGATGCCCACAGTTACCCTTCGGGCACGGCTGTGCACATCAATCACTTCTCCTCTTTTGCTGATCTGTATGAAGTCACTCTCAAACATCGGTGCATACTTGAATATAGCATACTCCCCTTTGTACAGCTGCTGCTGCAGTTTCCCCATGCAGGTGTTAAACATGCCCGTGGCAGGGCTGCTTTGGGCTGTGTAATACGGTAAATCAGGTGGACAGCTCATGGCTTTATTTTATAGAGACAGCTCCTGGGGGCTCTCCATACCCTCCTTACCAAACCTTGCAGGATTTCCTGGTCTTTCTAACAGGTGGGCTAGTGGTGGTCTTTTGCAGGTATTCTCTCTGAGTCACTGAGGTCAGAGTGGGGTGCTGATTAGGACTGTTCTGTGCCAGAGACAGGATTTGATTCTTAATCTCAATTGCCTCTCATAGTCTCACTGCTTCTCTCCTGCCCATTGTGCTCTGTCCCCAGAACACACCCTTTGTTTCTGTTGCCCAGGAGCTCCTCCCTCAGAACAGGAACTCTGTTCTCTCAGTAACCCCCCACCCCCTCACCATGCCACCCATGCTGTGGCTTAGCCCCGCCCCTTCTCCCTGGCAAATTGCTTTCTGAAAAGGTTAGGCAAAGATTCCATTAGGTGTAAGTTTAAAATATACATATTCTTTCATTCAGTACTTTAACTATAGATAATATACTTTAAAGAGATAATTGGACAAGTTGGTAAACAGGTTAGCACAGGATATTTATCAACATATATTGCATCTTTAGTTTGTTCTATCAAAGCGAATACTTTTCTTCTTTCTGCATTGAAATATTTGGTTATTTATGGTAAGATAAGTATGCTTACTTTATGATTTGTAGTCCTATTCACATGTCAGTAGCAATTCTTCCTGTCCAAAGTCCTTATATCTTAATTTCCATTTCATGTCTGTGTTACTTATCTTATATTCAACAAAAACAATCAACCTAACAGAAATTTAGCAACTAAACTAACATTCTAAAGGTATCCAAGCAGTATTGATGTTGTTTTGAAATAACTAGGTAGTATTGGACACATTATAAATCAATTTAGGTGCTTTAAAAAAAAAAAGTTGAAGCTAAATAGATTTCCTTAAAAGCACTAGTATGCCATATACATATATTACAAGATATTTGTCTCAGGGTTCCATAAAGAACCTGAGTTAATTGCCTTGTCTCCAGGGAAACTAGAAGTTATATTACTTGAGAATTTTTTCCCAAACCAGCATCCAATCAACAAGAGCACAGCCTGATAACCATCCTGTGGGGCATTCTGGCAAAGATGGAACATTTTTATGAGTCTGATGAAGTTTACCTAAAATTCCTCTAGCTAATTAGAAAACTGTCTTATTAATATTAGCCTCAATACTTAATATGCTCAGCTGGCTGAACAAATAAAACCTGAACATGAGATTGGGAATTGCTTTTTATGTCATGGCAGCAGCTTTCTGAGTGCTTGCTCTTAGAACATATTTCCACTCAGGTGGTCCCTAGGTATCTGCAGCTCTGTGCTGCCTCCCCTCTGCACTGGAGTTTGTCTTATTGGGTAAGTCATTTGACCTCCCTGTATCTTTTCTCATCTTTATCATTGACATGATTCTTTAGGTAAATTTGACTGTGGTGAAAAACTGGAGGACAGTTGTTCCACAGTAGCAGAGTTGTGTTCTACAGTTAAGTTATGTGGAAAGCAGAATTATTAAATGATGAATTTAGATACTGAACTGAGATTTCCAAGGGAAGTGTTAGAGGTGAGGTCTTGGTTACTTGTATCTGCCTAGAGCAACATGTGAGAGGCAAGAGATAAATTGGGTGAAGAACTTTTAATCAGAAAGGAACCAGGACTTGATTATTTGAAATGTTCTGAATTTATCCAGATTGAAAATGATAAGATTTATGGATTCACTGTCAAGAAAGTGTGTTATCGCAAGAAAACCAAAATATAGTTGGGTAACTTTTCCCCAGTGCCTCCGTATGGTTTAAAAAAAAAAAAGATTATTCACTCAGAGGGCTCTTTGAAGAGATTAGGAATGTGTAGTTTAGAGTTTACTCTTTTTAGCATAATCCAGAGAAGGGATTATCTAGAAAGATGTGTGGAGAAGCCTCTTGTCTAATGGAATGAATCGCTGTGATATATATGGTAAACTCAGAGCTTTTTGAGGACCCCACAGCAGACACTACCAGGTTGGACTGAAAGGAATAGGGAGAAGACAGAATAAAAGGTTATTAAATGCCTAAGGGAATGGATTTTTATGGGAAAGCAAAAGGCTTTTAAAAATTATTCAATTGCAAATACATGCTAACCTTTATGTAATAGACATTAAGACTCAGAAAATAGACTGAGGACCCCCCAGAGAATGGAGCCAGGCACTACACAAGGTTAGTCCTAGACCTTGAAACCTAGTGGGGTTAGCCCATTTATTTTTCTAAATTGTTTAGGACTGTTGATTCCTTCCCCCCACCTCTATTTTTAGTTCTCTCTGTTTGAATGAAACTATAATCTTGCCTGTCCTACCTATGTGTTTGGGGAGCAAATACCTTGTTTTCTAGTTTCAAATATTCACAGATGTGTTATAATGCAGTGTTACTTTAATTAAAAAATGAAGTAAAAACCAAAACTCACAGATGAAGAGGAAATTTGTTCAGGAAGAGTTATACCCAGAGTTCCACCCATACCTGATATGGATGATGAGATGGAAATACCTTGGTATAGCTGAGTCAGGTAGACCTAAGTTTTAATTTTAGCTTTGTAACTTATTATTAAACAGCTGTCTATTTTTTTTATCATCAGTAAACTATGGAACATCTACCTACTTTATAAGGTGGTGGGAAAATTGGAGAGCACATGGAACAGTGCCATTAAGTAGCCTCTCAATAAAGGATAGACATCATTGTTCTATTCCCTTTTAGAAGAATAAATCATTATACCTTTTAAGAAGACATGTCTCTGCTGAATAGCTCCAGGGATACAAATGTGTTCTGTAAAGCCCCAGCTTTAGCTAATACAAGCTGTGAACCCTTGAAAATTTGACCCTTCATTTCCTCATTTCTAAAAGAAGGATAATAATAATGGTACCAACACTGTAGCACTGTAGGTATAAACAAATAACATATATTACTTATAGTAAGTGCTTACAGTAGTACCTAGCACTCAGTTAATAAATATTAACTGGTAGAACAGGTAGTGAGAATAGAATTCTTCCCAATAATACTATATCCCAAGTCACCTACTATATTTTTTCCACAGCAAAAGTTCTTTGAGTTCTTCCTTTCAATCCACACTAGCTACCTACTAGCAACCTACAGTTGTAGACCCTTAATAAACATTTGCTGAATGAATTTTCTATGGCAAGGGTGTGCAAATTCTCTTTATAAAGGTCAAATAGTAGATATTTGGGGTCTTGATGTTCTATGGTCTCTATCACAATTACTCTATTCTGCCATTTTAGCATGAAAGAAGCCATAGGAAGTATGAAAATGAATGGGCATGGCTGTGTTTTAATAAAACTCTATGGAAATGGGCAGTAATCTGGATTTTTTGCTGAAATTTATAGACCTCAGGTCTATGGTAAAAAGAAATTAGAACCCTAATCCTAATAATTAAATATGCATCACAATGGGTTTATTTGGAAATAATTACAGGTGAGAAAAATTTTTTATCTTGCATAGAAAGATGGAACCATAGAGAAGAGGTGTAAATGCTGTGAATCCCCAAATTGCATTCTCCACAAAACTCCAAATTGCCAGTTTCTAAACTCAAGCTCAAAGCACAATTTCAAAAAAAAGATAATTTTATATGTTCAACTTAAACACATTTCTCAGTCACTGAGACCAGATTCATGTGGCTAAAGAACCATTCTGGACTTTCAGAAACTAATTTCTAAATGAGAGTGAGTAATGTGAGATAGTTTGTCTTCCAAGTATTGGTGAGCAACAGTCCAAACTTAACAGCTACTTCCTTCCTAAAATCCTCCTTATTCTTCTCCTGTTGGAAATAATTGCCTTTCCCTTACTATTCAAATAATTTTGACATCAGCGGATTGCTCCCTTTTATGATAGTAATTTATGTGGTCATGTAACATCTGTTCATTTAGGTTATAAACTGCCCGAGGGCAGTATCTGTGTGTCACAAATGTTTGTATTCTCTAGCACACTCTACTATATGCCTTCCATGGCAGTTGACACTTAGGCTGAACTTGTTGATCTCTGAATTTTTTTTTATCATCTTTGTAGGAAGATAAGCTAGAATGTTATCGAAAGCTCTCACTTTGCTCTGTTCACAGCATACTCAACTTCTCTGTATCAGCCTCAATTTCTTTATTTGTAAATTCCATAAAACATTAACTCTCATTTTATTATATATCTAAAGTATGGACTCAATTTCTCTTTTTGTTTTACCCACTACTCTCCTATATAAATCTTCTAAATGTGACTAATCACTAACCCATTAGTAAGTAAATGTAAACAATATGAAAAAGATAAATAAGTTTTTCATTGAGTGTGAACTAATGTTACTATTTGTTCTCTGCATCTGCCAGTAGATATTTTATCCATTGTTCTTTTTACAGTTATATAGTAGCAAAAAATAAAACTGTGTTTAATTTGAATGAACTGCTAGAAGGACTTTTTATTGCTTTGCTTTGTGGCTAAAATGAAATTTGTCTCCACTTATTAGCCTCTTACATTCTGAAAAAAAGGTAAAAATGAACAGGAATTTTAAGGGAATTTATTAGACAAAAGAGAAAGTGGTGTTCTACTATCTTCTGATGGTCAGTAAATATTTTATCTTGAAGAGGAGAAACACTTTAAAGAGATGAATGATATTGCAAACTTTGTTTTCTTTTCTATATTTCTGGCATGTTTACGTGCCTGGGTATAATACACTGTGATCCTTCTGGGAGACCCTACAGACAAGCGCTGCTCAGGCTAGGTCACTGTTTTCCCTTCTCAATGTGCCTCTTCCTCTTATTATTCTGCTGACCAAATTGCAATTTCCTAAGATGGTTTTGTATTCACCTTAGTGGATCAGTCAGACTCCATGATCTCTGAACTAGTAGCCTCACTGGAAAAATGAAGAAAAAATACCTTCTGTTAGATGTGAGGGTGAGGGCTAGGGGTGGTCATGAAGTGGCTACAGCTATAGGGATGGAAGATGTCTAAAGGAGAGGAAACAGTAGGTGAGTAGTAGTGCAGATAGATAGTAGTAATAGGGTAGACTGAGAAGAAAAAAAGAAAAGGGAAGAACGTGAATTGCATTTGTAATCCTTGGCTGCAAGGGGTATATTGATTTTTCAAACATTTACTGATGATGGGAATACAAGGTGGAAACTTGAGCAATTTGTCAATGTCACCTGAATGTGGAGAAGGAATTGCAGAATGTTATACACCTTTGATGAACCATTTTTCATTGCAACAAGTAGACAGCTGACTACCTAAAATACATTGAAAAACCATAATTTTAGGGGTGATCATTTTGTGAT